CCTACTTTATGGCTCATGAGAGATTTGCAGAATAAATTTTCTCTCTCCATCCCTGCAAAAGTTTTTTGAGTTCTCTCATTTAAATGGATATTGCCTAAACTTTACAAGACATATCTTCTGTGGTCCAAACTTGCACATAGGCATATAAAAAGTAGATTCCTTGTATCCAAAAGAAGAAGCATGTTCATGGTTTAATACTATTATTTTTACCACTGATTTTTGAACCGTGTTCCAAGTTATTGGACCGTGTTTCAGTCATTGTGCTAAGCTTTTTATATCTATTAAAAATTTTAATCCTCACCACAGTGCTGAGAGGCAGATGTATTGCGAAGTGCAGAGATAGACTAACAGTCAAAGGTTACTGCACAGCAGAGCTGGACTCTGCCTGAGGAGTGGAAGAAAGGAAATGCAATGAAAAGTGTAACATTCCTTTGGCGTCTCTAGGTTTCTACTGATGACAAGAGAACTGCCTTAGAGGACTGTGATATTGAGACCAAAGACCAGTCCCTATGAGACAGTAAAAGAACATTGGCATCACTGTCAAAGGTGAGGGGTGGGTAGACAGATGTTTGGATGCTGGAGCGTTGAATTTAATGGAATTTCTGATATTGTTAGGTGGCTGACGAAGATAATAGAATAAACTATTGGGATTTAGGAATATGTCAGATAGTTCAAAGCCCATGTCCAAAATACCTATACCATCATAGAGAAGAGGGAGACTCTGAAGGTTAAGAATGTAAATTCCGCCATAGAGGTAGGAACTCAGGTCACATTTAGTGGCCATCTATTGTCTGTATACCTCCAGCCACTGTGCTGAGCACTTTAATTTAGTGAACATTAACTGACCCAATCCCTGCAGCACGTTAAAATGCTGGGTTTTGGAAAAGCCCAGAGAGGTCAAGTGGCTCATTAAAGGTCGTGCAGCTCAGCAGTGACTGAGCTAGCACTTGAGTCCAGTCGGTGGCCCTCCTCCTTGAGCCATTGCTGACAAATTCCCGGTTCTCAGCAGACTTGTGTGCCTGGCTTCAGCGATGCCGGTACACGCCAGTTAAGGCATTTGTCTCTCTGCCCATCGGCTTTCAAAGGGTGCTTTCTGATGGTGAGATGCCCACCTTCCCATGTGGAACTCGATCACAGTTCTGTAATCTAGGTAATTGACTTAATTTTAAGGCATCTCAGAAGAGTTATGTGACTGTGGCTTTAAACTCTATGAGATTAGAAACCAGGTATTCCCAGCACCTGGCAATAACTATTTGTTGAATAAATGACTTTTACATAATATGATTAAAAGGAATCAGACTCATGGAATTAGGATTATCTAGCAAAGACTCAGCTTCATGGCCTGGGATGAGTTCAGTTAGCTTTTTGAAATACATTTGGACATCTCTCCTTGTGTATCATTAGTAGCTTCAGCATCATGTCCTCGTTTTAAAAAATAAGCATTGTTGCCATTCGTAATGTTCTCACATAAACCTCGATTTGGAGCTTAAGACATTATGCTCATTTGTCCTGCTAACATTGTGACATGCAGATATCCTCATTTTTGTCTAGAAGGTGATAATTGCAGATTCAGTTACTTCTAAGAGAAAGGGATGTTTAGAAGATTGAGAGCAAAGCTGAGAATCTGGGAGTCATCTTTAACAATGTGGAAATATCCCGCAGGGAGTGTGTGCCATGAGGCAACTCTAATGCTTCCTTTGCACTTTTGATTTTTTGGGGGGAAGATTTATTAAAACACTGTCAATTAACTGAGCTGTACTATATTTATATAAATGTAAAAATATATTTGCTATATTTTTTAGCGGGGTTTCTTTTTACTTATGCTGGTCTACTTCATACATACGTATTTTTTTCAGACAGGATATTTCAGAAAATGCTTTAAATGATATTGTTGTCGACTTTCACGTATGAAGACTTAGTGCGGTTGATAACTAGAAATTTTAATTTAAGATGTCTTAAGAATGCTTTACTGTTAATTGAAAGGATTTCTTCCCTCCGTATCACAGCCAATGACTCGTCTTGAGCAGCTAATTAGTGCGATTATTCCACAGCTGCATTTGCTACAGCACAAAGGTTTGCTCCTGTTTTTATCAAAAGGATCAGTCTCTCTGGGAATGTTTTAACCTGACAGGCTTTGAATAGTAAGGCCGCTTATTTATTTATTTATTTATTTTAAAATAACTGTTCCCCCCCGCTTCCCTCCACCACCCGCCATGCCCCTCATCACAGCTCTCCTTCTTTTCTTGGCTCAGGAAGGTGCATTTGAGCTTTGAACACATACTCTAAAGTGAGAAAATACATTTTAAAATGCTCTTTTAGTAGAGCTGTATCAAGTGAATAGATTATTTTAAGTGAGTGAGAATAACGGCCAGGTGCCCTTAATATGTGGATGAGTGCGTGATATTAAATAATAAGCAAGGTATTAACATTGTTCGATTTGTATGTGTCTGTAGAACATGTAGGAAAACATGAAGGAAAGAGGGTTTGTATTTTCTGGAATGCTGAGCACTTCCAAGTTTGCCAATATACTGGATACAGTCACCACTTTCCCATCGTATTGTCAAAATGTTGTCTATGTTGGATTCTGTCTCCTTTCTTCTAGCCAAATGGTGATTTCGATCACTCAGGTCCTTTCTTCATGTTCTTAAATTAGTGTCTAGAGGCGTATATTCTGCCACTGAAAAAATACTATGACTTCTTTATAGTTGAGGGGAGTAAAATGATAGAAAGATAAATTTACCTGTAATTCTATTCTCACCCTGGCAACTATGATTATCTTTGTACATTCCCTACTAATCATTTTGCATTCTTGTGTACATGCATATACCATACTTATTTTAAATTAGAATGTAAATATACTTTTGAATCCTACTTTTCAATTCCCTCTTGTTACCTACATGTCCCACTTTGTTCTGTAGTTGCACAATTTAAAAAAATAGGTAGTATTTTATTAATTTCTTGTATGATAATGTATTTAACCATTCTCATATTGTGGGACAAATTTTTGATTATTCATATATTTTGCAATTTGTAAACAGTCTTGTAATACCAGTTTTTGCACATTTAAGCTATTTACTTAGGAAAATTGTCCATCACATTTCTGAATCAAATTGCATGAACAATTTTTAGCTTTTTGGTAACATTGTTAAGCTGTTTTAATATATACCAGCAATGGTGTAGAGTAACATTATTCTTATGCTTTTTCTTGTCATGGACAGTTTTTTAAAAAAATTTAAAAAAATAAAACAAAATAAGAACCTTGGATCTTACCTTAAATGCTATTTTGTATCTGACTTTTCTAAGTTCATTATATTGTGTAGTTTTATTCAAATCAGTAAATATATTTTTACACTAGTTTTAATGGTTGCATCATGTTACGTTAAGATTCTCTGACAATATACTGAACGAATTTCCTGTTGTGAAAATAAGCGAACTGTTAAATTGTTATTGTGTAGTTTTTCTGGGATAGCGTGAGGGTAAAACCAACACTTCTTCATCCCCTAGCATGTTTTGTTACCTTCAGAGCCTGAAGGTTCCTGCCTTTAAGGAGTTCATTAGGATGGTCAATGATATTTAAGGCTTTATTTTGCCTTTTATTAGAAGGTAAAATATAATACTGGAGTTTATGTTCAAAGAAGGAAGTTCAAAGTACAGATACTTACGTTGAAGCATGACTTTCTCAAGAGTGAATATTTTCTCAGATGTTCCTTTTCTTCTGTCCCAGATGCCAAGGTTTTGAACTGTTGACCTAAATACAGACGTTAATATATACATGTGTGTGTATATATATGTATGTATGTATATGTTAATATGTGTGTGTGTGTGTGTGTGTATATATATATAAGCATAGAGAGAGAGAGAGAGATAAACAATGAAACATTTTCTAGCTGTAATAATGGTGACAGCAAACATTTGTTGAGCCAGTACTACATGGTACTCATTGTACTAGGGGATTTATGTGCCTTGTTTTATTTAATCCCCCCAAATCCCTAGGAAGTAGGGCTTTAAAATATACACAATACAATAGAAATTTTAAAAGAACACCTCCCACCTTTATAAATGGTAAGTGGGTAAAAAAACTCCTGTTTTCCTTCTTTTCCAGATACTAAGGCAGAGAGAGGTTTAATAACTTGATGTCATAAAACTGGCAAGATAAGTTATCAAAAACCATATTTAGGAAAATTAGGAAGTCTTTTCTTTTTGATTTGTGAGTAGGGTTTCAGAATTTTAAACCATTTTGGGTAGAGTGTGTGCCAAAACCATTAGAAGTAGTCCTCATGGGGAACACACAGAGAACGCATAGTAACGTAGTAGAGGGCATGCCAAGGTGAATCAGAAGAAAAGACGGCACAAAGCAAACCAGACAGAGAAGTATTGGCTTGTCAGACCAGCTCGTCTTCTGCCCCTTTGCCGAAAGACTGAGGTCGAGTTCAGTGTTAACTTTCTGGCCCAAACGCTTCCTTCATTAATTATTTTTACTTATCGTATCTTAGAAAAGTTTCCTCTTAGCAAAACTCACCTTTTCTTTAATCAATTTTTGTTAGTAAACATTTTAGGCATCTTCAAAGAACTTAGATAACATGTAGGAGTAGTTATTTGGTTAGATTCAGTTGTACAAAAAAGCAAATCAAGCAATTTATTTTTAAATGTGAAAATTTGGGTGCCATTAAGATGCTTTGCTTCTTGGCAGTGCATATGGTGGCGCTATATTTGGTGGTGATGAGTAGTGTGCAGCATAAAATATAAAAAAAAAAAAAAAAGATAAGCCGCCTGATAAAAATGCCTAGATGCAATCAAGCTGACTTATTTTAATTCAACTACTAATGACTTAAATCCTGTCACCTCTTGATTTTCAATTATGTGGAGTGCCATTCTGTGACTTGATTATATTTGCACAGACTCATTTTATAGTTTGATGCAATTTAGGATACCCCAAAGTGCAAACGAAGGGTCTCATTAGGAAACTAAATGTTGTATGCCTTTTGGTTTTCCCACAGCAGTTCCGCGGAGCATCCTGGGGCCTCCAAGCCTCCGATAAGCTCCTCCAGTATGACATCACGCATCTTGCTACGCCAGCAACTCATGCGTGAGCAGATGCAGGAGCAGGAGCGCAGGGAGCAGCAGCAGAAGCTGCAGGCGGCCCAATTCATGCAACAGAGAGTGCCCGTGAGTCAGACACCAGCCATAAACGTCAGTGTGCCCACCACTCTTCCCTCTGCCACCCAGGTGCCGATGGAAGTCCTTAAGGTACGTTGAGTGTCGCGCTCGTTCGTTGGACCAAACTCTTCCATTTTCCATTTGCTAGGTATTTTGTTTATCTGAATGTGTATTTCGTTAGACTGACCCATCAGAATTATACTTGAAAACTCCAACTCCCTTAATTCCTACGTGGCTTTATATTTTAAAAGAAGGTTGCAAACGCATTGTAACTGTAATGGTACAATTCAATATTTGGTGGGAGTCAATGTTCCATGAGAAATTGCAAGTGGGCATACCTGTTTGTCGTAATGACATCTTTCTTTGAGAAAGTTTCAAAACAAGAGTTATCTGAGATGGGCCTCTTCTAATAACTTGTGTATCTTAAATATTTTTTTCTTAAATACCTTCCATAGCCACTCTTTAATTTTCTTTTTATTTAGTATGTAATATTGGTTGTAGAATTTAAGTCTTATAGAAAGCTCTTCACATACAAGATTGAAGAAGAGCTTTCTGCGCTTTAATAACCAGACTGCATAATCCTTTTACTGCAGTGAGTTGCCTGCTTTGGGTCTCTTTGATTTCTTGCTGGAGTAGAAACTGCAGGAGCTTGTTAGCATCATTCGATTAGGGACATATAGCTTCCTAATTACTAAGGAAAATTGTAACAAGTCTAAGAATAGAATTCCATCTCACACATGTGTCTTCCACATCACATAGGGAGATACTCCTTGTTTAAGAATGAACATTTCAGTTCTTAAATATGACTGATTCAAGGAAAGTTAAAAGGAAAGTAGGGGAACTTCCTTATTTTTAATTTATTTTTTTATTTTATTACCTGCTTACCTAATTCTGGAAAGTCTCAAGTGTTACTGTTCATTAAACAATGAACTTTACAGACCGGTGATTCGTTATTGGTTTTTGGATTCATTCATGTGCATAGAAAAAACATTTCCCATTATTTAAAGTTTACTATTAAAGTAAATAGAGAGATGATGTGTTATAATTAGGAATCAATCTGTGAACCTTACCAGGAAGTAGGAAAGAGATTCTTTAAAAAACAAATCAAGAGTCAATTATTTTTTATTTGCAAAGACTTAAACTGTAGTGATGAAATAATGGAACTCAGATGAAGAAACCAACTGAAATTAGGTTAGGGAAAAAAGATCCAAATAGTTTAACATAAGGTTTTACTCCAATGTGATTGTTTGAAATTCTGGATATTGCCACAGTTAATTGATTTTTTACTCTTTTTTTTTTTTTTTTTTTTTTTTACCCCTCAATTAACTCAAGGTTTTCTCTCTGGAATAGATGATGCATTGAATCTTTCTGTTCTGCTTCGGTGAAAATTGATGTGATCACTATTTAAGCTTTTATAGATTTAAGAATTATTTAAGATTTAAGTTGTTATCTCATGCCTGCAGGGGTGACATTTATTGTGTATACCTTAGGTTATTTAAAATTGTATGAATTAAATAGTAACAAGATATGGAGAAATATGTCTATTTTATTCATCATAATAGTTTACCTTTTTAATCTGAAGGGCAAATTTTAGAAGAGTTGACATGGATTTGGGCTAGTAGTGGTTTACATCCAACTGAAGGTAATGTTTGATACTATGTCAAAAAGTATTTATTAAAATCAGTATTCCTATTAAGGCAGCTACAACTGATAGAGAGGAAATTACCCAAATGAAAATGTGTTGAAACATCATTTCCAGATTATCTTAAAAATAAGCATAGTTTCTAAATATTTTTGTCATTGTAAATATGTTATTTTTGAAAATGATTAGAATTAAAACCTACATTAAGTTGTTTGAATAACATACCAATATTTTTATATGTTGCTGTGTCCTGGTGACACTGGATTGATACAGCCCCTAACTTATGTACGCCAGAAAAATGTCCAAAGTTAAAGCACAAATAAATTGTTACAACTGGATGACATACTCTAACTAAAAATAAGAATTAGGTAAATTTGTCTTTTATACTGAATATAGTTCATGTCTATTTAACTTCTGCTTATTTATACTTCAGTTATAAAAACTAGTAAACTATGTCATATAAATAAAAATAAAGAATTATTGCCATAGCTATATGATTAGGTTTGATAGCTATTTAGACAAATTTTAGTATTCTTAAATGAAGAAACAAATAAGAATACATGATTTCATTAAGACAATATTTTAAGAAAGTCAACATTTTTAAAGAGAATATCATATAAGTGATTGCTTCAGATACTTAAAGACTTAGGACTTCATAAAAATAGTTGGCTTATTTTCCAAATTTTGTTTATAAAAGTATTATGAAACATTACAGAAAGGTAACTGAGAGAAAGGTGTTTTTTTCTTTTTTATAGTTTTTTAAATCATAAGCATAGTTTTATGAAGTAAGTGGTTAATAGTAAAACAGTTAATATGCTTAATCTTGGACCATTTATTTCTCCATGAATATATATTTCCAAAGAATGGTATTGTCAAGTATACTAATTGAATGCATTATGATACAAATCATACTGAATAAATATTTTCTCATAGTATATACCCTGAGTAAATTTATTTAATTTTTAAAGATTTAAATTGCTAAAACAGAACATGCCTGCTTCTCAGTGGAGGTAGATGTATACAATTAGTCACACTTGCATGCACTAGAGAATCTGGTTAAATCTCTCCATCTCCCAAGTTGTTTGTAAGAACCTGAGAGAAAAAAGGTCATAGTTTAGTTTTCATACACACACAAAGTTAAGTTACCCGCATTCTACTATCTGGATGAATGACTGATTTCGAAAAGCTAAAGCAGTGTTTTCAGGTTAATCCCTTTCTTTGGCAGAGTTAAATTTAAAATATGAAGCTTTATAAAGCATTTTTAAAAATTATTGACATCTGGTAAACTTAGGACTAGTCAGATTTTGGGTTAGAGGTCAAAAATCTGCATCACTCATTCCTCAACGTATGGTTATTGTGCAGTGAGTAAGTTCATGAATCTCTGTAGGATTAGCCGCTGGTTTCTATATTGATTTAATAATATATGAATTTTCTCTCATATTGATTTTCATTTGGGGGTCATGGAATCATGAGTCTTATTGCTGTATATTTACATAGTAAAGATATTCTCCAAGTTTTTTAAGAACAACCTTACCCAATTGGCATTGTAATTTAAGGATGCTCTTTTACCATAAATTAACCAACACCTGGAGTGCATAATGCATTTTTTTTTTTTTTTGTAATGGTGAACACACCCTGTAATTTGAATTGTGAATTAACAACAAAAAAAAAGTCTTCAAGAACCATTAATGGAATCAGTTTCTTCCACAAGTGAGTTTTGCTGGCATGCAAGTCATACACACCTGAAGTTTGAAATTTGATGTAGCTTTTTTCAAACAAAAACAGAGTAACAGGGGACAGACCTATAGATGAGTTCAGCCTTATAGCTAAAGCATCACGGTGCAAACCACCAAGTTAATCATTTGCGTGGTCACCAAGCATCTGTTTTCATGGTTTTGTCTCTCTGACTTTGATGAATTATAACAGCACTGGTCGCTCTCATCCTGGACTGAAAAGTTCATCAGGATTTCTTCGCCTACTACCTTCCCAACATGGGCTCTGACGGTTGAAAGCTTGAACACATAGTTTACAGTTTGAAAATGTTTCTCTGTTTAGAAATCTGAAGGGAGTTGCCAAGGATTCCTTACTACCTCTCTCTTTCCCTCCCTTCCTTTCACCTTGAAATTTACAATTTTGAAGGCAAAGTCAAAGTCTTCTCTGGAACAGATTGTCCAGTGAATTTTTCTGTTCTGCTTAAGAGAAAGGTTACATGAATTTTAAAAAGAAAAGATTTTTTTATTACTTTTGGGCATTTCTTAAGTACTTTGAAGGAATTTATTTTTAAATTTTTCCTTTTCTCCAAATCATCTCAAGAGTTGCGCAAATTGCTCTGTAATTAGTGATGATGCTTGCTGTTTATTTTGTCAAATACAGAAGCACTTTTTCTGGGACCCTCTACATTGTAAACTAAATTTACTTGGGCGTTTACTTGGTGGTTATCTCATCAAAGTTGCCTCTCATTTGGATTGAGATTCTAGCGAGGTGGGCTGGAAGTCCTGCTCCTTGTCACCCTCTTCCAACAACTGACACTTCGTATTTCACTAGTGAGGGGAAGGGTTAATGATTGAACTACTGGTCTTTTGCTGTAAATTATGAAATCTGCATGGAGTAGAATTTTCAAGGTGTGATTTATTTTTTAGGTATAACACAGAAACTTGAAAATATCTGTGGAGTTATAGGTGGATTGAAGGGCTACACACTGGCAGAAGGGACTTCTCCCACAACCTACCCTTATATTTTGTTTCTGATTTACTTAGCCAGGAATACAGACCCTAAATAGCATCGTGGTGGCTGCAAGAAGCCAGAACAGATGTCGTGTGTCTCGGATCAGCTTGCCTTGGTCCCCTCAGTTAGGGGATCTGTTGCTAGAGGTGGTACTCTCATAAGATGAAGACCTACTATGTCTGAGATTTCTTCTAATAGCGTAGTCCATTCACACATGGACCAGCATATACTTATATCCCCTGTAGTGTGACTTACACAAACAACCTGTCAGCCTTGATTTCAGGGATCGTTTATAAACATTAGTGTCCTTTTGTTTTTGAATCAATGTTGGTGTCTGCAAGGCTACATCCTCATTCAGGGGGAGAAAGGGACTCAGATTTCAGGTCAACAAACAGCTCTTCATCCTCGCAGAAACCTCATTTCCCTTCAGAATCTGAATCATTCAGTGTCACACATAAGGTAATTTTCTCGCTCTTTAAAACTCACGTTACTGATTTTTTTTAATTGCAGACAATACTTGTTAACTTTTAACAGATTTAAACAATGCAGCAGAATAATTCAATATGAATCTTACCCTGCCTACCACTGCCTCCCTTCCATAATGTTCCCTGGAAGGAGCTACTGTTAACAGTTTAGGGTACAGCCTTCCTATTATTTTCTGTTTTCTAATCCTACCATCAGTTGCCTTTTATAGAAGCAAGGTCTGAAGAAATATATTAGGCAG